AAGTGTATTTTGTAAAAAATTTATTGTTTAAAGTTGAAACAATAATGTTGTCTGCCATACACTCATACATATGCGCCGATTCCRCTGACTGATTTGCATAATTTGTCCRCAATCAGTGTTTGCATAACAATTGTTACAAGCCTCCAAGCCTCGCACAGACGGATAATTTGATTTGCGCACAGCCTTTCGTTTCCGTTTGATTCGATTATTGCGAATTATTTGAAATGTTAAAAAACGCTTGCGTAGCGCGCCAAGGAATGCGCCCACAACAAACACACTCAAATATTAACCCCTTTTGTCGGTGTGGTGAAGAGCTGCAGCAACACAAACAAATCCACATGCCTACAAACATACATATGTAAGGATGGATATGTGTGATAGATATGCCAGTGCACATGTCGAGACCACCAGTAACCCCTTCATCAGCATCGGCTGATGAACCACCCCACAGTGGCAGCCACATGTTTTCGGCAACAATCGAATGTTTAAGAAATTATTGAATTGCCGTTAGGCACACACACACACACACACCTCTAGCGTCTTTACAAGTGGCGTGTAGTGGCGTGTTATCCTTAAGTTGGTAAAACGTATGTTCGTGCTCGCTTTAAAGCGTTTGCTGGAATTGCTGGCAGTGGCACATGGAAGATTTATTGCCAATTGGTGGCGGCATAAATCGTCGATTTGTATGATTGCCAACAATAATCGATTGAATAATTGACTTGATGTGGGACCAATGTGAGGGCGCCATGCTTCGKTGGTGGGTGAGGGCTGCTGGGAGCCTACCCACACTGTAGCCAACACTCGGTACAGTGACACAATTTTTGACCAACATTTTGGCATCAAATTTAACAATAAATCATTGTTCAGTACYCGTCTGCTCACATACTGTGATCTGGAGTGTGTTGATGTTGCAAAGCAAGAGGACAAATATGTATTGATGTTTGCACATTCCATCGTTCATACAAACATGTTGTCTAAGTAAAATATTAGAACGAAGGTTTCATAAAGAGTGAGCACGTAGTTATACTAGAGCGGCTTGATTTACAGGAAGCCAA